TATCCTGAATGACTTTTAAAGTATGTGCTCGTCAAAATTGATAATCTCATTTTTCCTAATGAAGGCATATGTAGTTAAATTGATCTAATTAACTAATTAAATATTTTTACTAACTGAGTAATTAACTAGTCCTGAATATTAAATTATTTACTTAAAGGCTTTGTAAATAAAATTCTACCAAGCTTCCAATTGAAAATTTTGTCACGACTAAAGTGGTTTAATCATAAACGATATATATCCTAATTGTATTGATTCTTTCATTTAAAAGTTTATCTGCGACAATTCTAATAATTATAAATTGCAATAATTCAGTATAGATAATTTTTCTTTCTCGAGAACTAAGATAGTTCCTTAAAACTCTGAGTTATCCATAAAGCATACTATATCATATAGATGTAAAAGAAAGAGAGTTTTTTTTTTTCAAGGTTTTAGGAAGAAATAACGTAGATATCATATTTGGAGAAAAATAATGTAAACGCCTCATTAAACATCACCAATGCTCTTTTAATAGTCATTTAACAACAACTAAACTAGAAGAGTTAGATATCTTTTAAAAGTAGAAGAATCACAATAGACAAAAAATTATGTCTAAATAGAAAAACGAGAATCGGACAGGCTCCGTTTGAGCATTTGAGCCCGAAAAAATATATAGTCCTATTCCAAAAAAATGAATAGAAAAGATCACACGGCTTTACAGCCTTATAATTGTACAAGTACCCCAAAGCCATATCATTTTCGGCTGAGGATGACAAAGATCTATGACCCGTTCGATTTGAACTGAACCACCATGTCCTATCTCTTTTCTTTTTTCAACTAGTTCAATCTCTTTTCTTATAAATCCTAAAAAGTCCTCCAAACATATCGCACCTATATATAAAGTTTCTTTGTTAAATTTGTTACTGAAATGATTAATTAATTTTTTACCTTAAATTAAATATATTTTAATTAATTAATCCACACACAACAGTCAGATTGAATCTTGACCTTTTGAAAAAAACTGGAGAAGCCAAAACCATGCAAAAAATTACTATTACTCACCTCAAATCCAGAACAGGTCCCGGATCTTCTCACGTAAATTGCAGCTCAGGTTGAGTTTTAGGAAGCGCAGAGTTGCCATATCTCTCCTCAGCGTTTCTTTACCAAGTTTGAACTTGCTGTGCCTAAATGCAATTTCCCCCCTTCTTCAGTCAGTTGCACAGGTCCAAACATGTAACATCTTAAAAATTAAATGCTCCAATTTCTGCAGCACATTGCTAACACTGCTACAACCTGTGATACAAACTTATCTCATCATGGAACACCTGATCTAGGTCCAATCCAAAATTAGAGCTGCAGGATGCATAGGAACACCAAAAGAATACACAGAGACCACATCATCCACCAAATGCCCAGTTCAAAAGTTATGCAAGTCCATGTCTCTGCCTCATTATCCATAGAGGGAAATTGCTCACCTAATAGTAGCAGCAGAATTCTTCCAGCTCACCCTCTACCATTATCAGAAGAAAGCTATAATAATAGAGTTTAATACAATCATCACGATTTACACTGTCTTGACTGATTAAGATTCTGATTTACAATGAAATCTACCGGTTAAAAAATTTGAAAGCACAGTAACTCTCACCATAAAAGTCACCAATCACCACCGAGGCATTCCCTTCTGGAGGGCAGTTATGTCACAATTACTTTTAGGCAGCAACATCAGAACCGAAACCAATAAAAGGTTTCATTAGGATGGAAAATACTTACCATCTTGTAAACCCAGAGCATAATAACCTCAAACGATGATCAGAAAATGAATAGGAGACTTGAAACATAAAGAATGATTTATGACTAGTGGTTATATGTTTTAACCATTGATACAAAGTACTAAGGAAGCTATAACTGCCTGTCTGTAACATTTTTTTGATATCCTAGATGTACCCGAGCAGTTCATAGGCCAAAAAAAAAAACATGAACTTGCCACCATCAATTGTGCTAATATTTTCTTCTAAATATGGTAATCCTTACATACTAAGACTCATCATTTACAAAAAGATTATTTCCTCATGACCCAAAAGGCGAAACTAGGTGACTCAAAGTACAAAAGTGGACAATAGCAAACATGAACGGAACACAAAAATATTGGAACTTAGGAACATTTATTTATGCATGTTACCACCACAGCCCCTCCTACCAGTCATATACCCTTCCCCAGTTATATAAACCCCTATAGTTCTCTCCATGTCTAGCACCAAAGCCACCATAACTTGGACGAGGTCCCCTCTGGATGTTTCCAAAAGTCTGCACCAGTAAAGAGCTGAAAATTAATAAATAATCCAAAAGTAGATCAATTATTTACTTTAACTTTTCTCTTTAACACTTGCTGGTCACATAAAAATAAAGGAAACCTCAGTATCTAGTTTTCTTGTCTCCGAAAAACAGTTGTGTCCAGTCCTTGCTCCACTAGTGAGTGAGTTACAAGAAATTGTGTCAAAAAATTCATCCTTTTTATATGCAGGCTGCACATAAAAGCCGTAAAGGACACACCACGTTACACATTAGATTAAGTAGATGGTTGCAAACAAACCTGAGTCACAGAGACATAGAGCATATCTCTCACATGCACATACAGAACCAAACCTTTGTGCTCTTACCTTATGATCCACTACAGCACTAGAAAAATCCTTGTCCACAAAGATTTCATCAATAACTTTGTGCTCCAAACCATCCAAGTTGTCCCTGTGCTTTCCTTTGCCAAGACAGCCCCACACTTTATCCTTCTTAAACTTCTTGTTCATTGCCTCAAAATCAAATTCTTCAGTAAATAGTGTTGAAGAATACTGGGATTGCAAAGTAACCAACAACAAATAATTAAAATCAGTCGGACTACAAGTAAATTCTCAGAATTGATCAAGTCACCAGATTTGCCAAAGATGAAATGCCTCACATGAACTCTAGCATGCTATAATAGATAACTGCAGACCATCTCTTCAGAATTGAAACAAACCAAATATATCTATATTTACAGCCAACTCAGGTAGCAAACACAGCAAATAAAAGCACTCAGATACAGTAAAAAGAGGTGCAGCTAAGGATGGATCAGGCAAGGGCCAAGTATAATTCAAAGACCAGTAATATATTGCCTGTATTGACGCTCTCTTTTTGAGAGGTTTCTAGGTACTTTTATGGTACAGATACCTCTCTGTCTCAGCCATTGGATCTTATGGAGATGTATTTAAAAATGGCCTCCAATGACAAAGATGGAGACAGATATTTAAAAATGTATCAATAGAATATCAATCAAATATTCTTACTCCTAAGGGCAGCAAATCACTTATCCTTATCTAGTTGGAAATCTGTAAATCTATACTCTTCTTACAGAAATAGATACATACAAGTAGCACATATAGTTCCTATTTCTATATTAACAATTTAGATTAGTTGATTTCTAATTCTTATGAACTTCCAGATTTTTAGGAATTCATAGAAAACTTGAACCTCCTTAATGAGGAATGCCTTTGCGTATAAATACTAGATATATATATACTGCTCATTTGAGATTCTACAAAAGACTTTCTCCACGTGTACCAAAGCTTCCACTCCCTAGGACTTCTTTTCTCGGACTCCATGGTTGAACCTTACAAAATCAATTGGAGTTCATTGTTGTTGATCTTCGCAGCCAAAACCCTGCTTCCAATTTTTACATCTGCTACAAATATTAAAAATCTCTAAATATTCATCAAATCTACATGGGCTCACAACTAAGTCCATGCCAAGTACGTCAACTGGAGAGCTTCTGATTTAATTCATCATATTCACTGAATGGAGAAAAACTATCCAAAATGGCCATAGGTCCTGAGAATTTCGTAAGAGGAAAAAAAAACCCATTTGACTGGAACAGGTTCAAAAACCAGAACATCCAAAATTTAGTGCGTAGACAGACGGGTGAAGATTCAATGATTATAATGCAACTTGAAATCACTGGGAATTGTATATCTCGTACTACTGAGAGATCCAGGAGATGCTTTTCAGATGTACTCAAAATGCAGATGTGCTCT